TGTTGTGTTTTCCTCGCTAGTAGTAGGTGCATGGCACATGCGAGGCTTGGAGTTTATAATTCTGAGGATGGGGATGGGAGGGAAGATTACAGTTGTGTGCATATTTAATCCCCACAGTTTTACTACTTACGCGTTGGGGCGGCTCAATTCCTTGTAGTCCAGTGTGCAGTATGGGTCGTGCTCGGGTCGTCACAAATGAGCAAGGCTTCTGAGGCTGAGAGCGTGGATGTAGTAGCAGTTTCCTGGGCACAGAGATGACCACCTATCCCAGAAGCCATTGGCCAGCCTGCTATGCGGCGCCGCTGCCACACACCGGCAGTACAGGCCGTCACGTCACCTTGAGCGCGACAGCCCTCGGTACTTTCCAGGACACCGTTTCGCAAGGTGGCAGGCAACCATCTACGACTTTGCTTGACGTGACTTACCCCCTGGTTACTCCCCATACTCTTCCAGCAGACTCAACCAAGAGGACTTTCCTTCCAGGGCTCCTCCTCACTCCTGGTGAAGCGAGATATCAGAGATCTTGTCTAGTCTCCATACCACTGAAAGATCCTTGATCACTGCGACTACGTGACTCCAAATACTAGGCTATAATCAAAACGGATTACAAAGCAAGACAAAAAAGTAGTCAATTTCATCTTCTAAGGACGCGAGGTTGTTTTATCGTTTGTTCTTTTCATCCAAGGGGGGATACTGACGCCCGCTTCCAAAACTTAGCGGCAGGCTTGGGGTCCGACCCAGAGAGAAACATGGATCCACGCGCTTCTTCGTTCTTATGACACTATTGGAGGATTGGTGGCAAGACACGCCAGCTGACACCGCGAACATGTATGGCGGTATTGAGTGAGAGATAGGCCGAGGCATGAAAGACAATGCGGAAGATTGTGCACCAGAACGTTCAGGGGCCGTCCAATATAGCCACATCCTTACAACGCGGTCTGCTTCGAAAAGGGAAGACGAAGAGCCGCTTCGATGTCCCATCGATCTCGTGGTCAATCATCCCATCCCATGGCCTTTCGGACGCGGTGTGGCTTATTCGGGCGCAGTGTGGCTGTTCGGACGCACTGTGGCGTTTCGGACGCAGTTAAGCAGACGCAGCTGCCATCATGGTCCTTACCTGGGTGCCTGCTCTTCTTATTCGGACGCACCCGAAATGCATGCGTCCAAGCTTCGGACGCAGCCATTTTGACTGCGTCCGAAGGCGACCGACTAATGGGGGCAAACTCATGATTCTGGCTCTTGACGGTGCCCGTTGTCCTGAAGGAGTATGAAATGCTAGCAATAGAGCCTGCAAGGAACTTGGAGTCGGGCAAATGATTGCGACAGAACTCGGCAAGTCGTCTCTCGGCCTCCTTGATGTGTGTGGGTGCCTGTAGCGAGTCGTAATAGTTGGCCCGCCTATGTAGCGGTCCGACACCGCGGCCAGGGAACATGTCGTTTCCATAACCATCTTCAATGTTGTCATTGCTGTCGGTGGCAAACCTTGGTGATTTAGCAAGGCTGTCGACAGCCTGGTTGTCGACAGTCTGGGTGCGGGGTCACTTGGCGGTGTTCCCGTTGACCGGGGCTGTCAAGCCGGTCCTCGCATAGGCGCCGGCCCTTGCGGCCGACTTGCCCCAGGCAGTGGGGTTCAAGGTAGTCATTGTCTGGTTGAGTTGATCGACGGGCTTATTGTTAGTGGACAGTGTGTGTGGCCTCAGTGGCCTCGAAAGCTTGGGCGATGGCAATGATATTGAGACTGGGTCCTCGGTCGTGGATGAGCTTCAGAGCATCGCATTCGTGTACGGCACGACTGGCGGCAATTCTAACGGCGAAAAGGAAGAAAAAGGTGCTCTTGGAGATGGCGTAGCGGTTGAAGTTGGCTTGGATGCGGTGGCTGACTTCACTGGACATCCACTCGGAGAGACTGGCGAGGTCTTCAGACAGGGTTTCGTCGAGGATGAAAGCGAGCAGGGCGTGGCTGATTCAGCGCACCGCGAAGAAGGCAAAGCTGCAGTCTAGCACTTGAGAAGCAAAGGATAAGTCTTTGCGCTGTGTTCTAAGTCGATGCAAATCTGAAGCTATCTACCAGAGTCAGGCTCTCTCGCAGTGTTTAACTCGATTCAAATCCTTTCTGAAAGATTGCAGGACTTATCACAGGCAGATTGCGCGACACTTCCCAAGCAGGTGGCTGCGATGGTCTTCAGTCATTCTGTCGGGGCATAGGATACATGTACTTTAAGTAGGCCCAGAGTCGCATGTCTTGGCCAGCTTGGATTCTGGGATTGACAGGAATGGTTAGGTAGCTGGATATTCGTAGGCCGCGGCGTGATTCTTAGGACAGGCTCAATAGATACTTGATTCACCAATATCATTAACTCAGAACTTGCAGCTATTTCAGTCAATAAACTGCCTCAGACAAAATGGTATCCAGCCGAAGCATAGCTGGTTAGTCGCAGCGCCATACTCTCAAAGAAAGTTTGCCATCCCCAGGCCGTCATTTTGAAACTCCTGTATCATGGTATCCCAGTCTACAAACTGTGCCCATTCATTCCAATCTGTGTCATGATTGTTGAAATCAGGCAAAATCCTCTCATTATCCTTGCCGCCCACGGATTGTTCGAGTCTTGAGAAAGACATCTGTTGGGAAGTCCCACCATTATTCACGACATCCCCGGTCTTGTTCTCTTTTCGACCCAGCGCCTTCGAGTAGAGGGCAATTAGGACGTTCCAATTCGATGTGGGTAGGAGGCCGTCCTCTGTCTGACGACGTCTCACCTGCCGCATCATCTCCTCAACCACTATCCACGCCCTGTCGACGTGTGGTCCGTCAGGCCGTGCGCATAGATGGCTGAGAACGTAGAGTGTGAGGTGGTACTGGGGGTAGGCGAGCGTCAACCAGTGGAACGGTCGTAGAAGCTCGTCCTTGCCAAACGACATGCCCATCTCGAGGATCTCGACAGCTTCAAGAAGGTCCTGGTTGGTGGTCAAAGACTCGCTCAGCCACGAATTGAGATGCTGAAGGGCAATCCACTGCTGACGCGAAATGAAGTCGATTTTCCGGATGACGAAGCTCGAAGTGTGCATGGTGAGACGCTGTGCCGGGACGACGGGGCTGCATGCCTGAAGGAGTTTTCCCACGCGGCACCGCATGTCGTTGATGATCTGTAGCCTCAGCTCCTCTTTCGGCACTTCCAATGAAGTCGAAGGTGCGATTTGCGTCAGCCGATGCCAAGTGCGGGAAAATTCAATGCCAATCAGCTGGATAATCATTGGAGTCCACACCTCCCGTGCGGGTGGCAGTTCTTCCATGTCCCTGTAGATATCGCCGTCGTCGAGGTTGCGAGGCGGCTCGGCCTCGGCGATGAGGTTAAGGCTGGACGTGCTCTGAAGGCCGTAGTCCTCAGCTGTTTTGCCGTCCCGAACGATGAAGTACCACCAGAGCCTTCGTCGTATTTCAGTTTCAAAAGGCGACAGACCGAGATTCTGGCCATCGCGGTGGAGACCAATAGACTGGGCAGCTCGTATAGCGAGGCCATACAGGGTCCAGACGCATCTTCCATGATTGTAAAGTCGCAGCCCTACCTGGGGTAAATAATTAGCTGGATTCATGGGTTACGGGAGCGAAAGTGCGCCAGGAGATCCGGAATCTGGGCGCAGGGCACCCACAAGATAGATCCCAAGCGCTTTGAGTAACATGATCGTCGGACGCTCCAGAAAGTTAGCATGCGAAAGAGCCTGCTCCAACCCCTTTTTAAACTGATGAAGATTGAGAGTTCTTTCCTGTTGGCGGCGGCGGTCAGCACCATCAGGGACGGCGACTGAGACGAAGTAGATGGCGAAACATAGCGCCTGATTTTCGGGTTTTGCGCGATGGGGCTCGGCTATCGTATTGTACACAGTCGCCTCATCGGTCGGAACGTGGAGAATCTTTACATAAGGCTCGATGTTGTTCACGTAATTCGTCCATAGAAGGACAGCTGCTGACTTTTCGGGATGCAACGACGACATCAAGTGGATGGGGAAAGGCTCAGAGATGATCCCTATGGGCACGAATGGCGATGGAGCCGTGAGAGTATCGGTCTCTGCTTCGGAAATTGACAGATACGAGCGGACATCGTGTTCCTGTGGCGGGATCAGAACCTGATGCTCATGCTTCAGCGAACATGTGCGGGCCATGTACCAGTTTGATAATCTTGGAAAGGATCGCTTCATCAAAATAGCGGCTTGAAGAATCATGTCGGACTAAAACGTCCTCGCCGAATCCACATTGGGTTGTGGCCGGGCTGTCGGTCTGGATGCGACCCCCGGCCGCCGTGACGAGGGTGGTTTCGAGCCCAGAGATGCGGCGTACGATGTCGGCCACGGTCGTCGCCTTGGCCCGCCGGTATGGCTTCACCGATGAAGGGTAAATACAGGGGACTCCACGACGACTGCATGCAGCGCATGGCTTTTTTTTGTTGCATCGTATCTTGCGCTGGTGACAGACGTTGCAGGATCGGTCGCGGATCCCCGGCGGGTCGGCTTCGGACCCTGAGGCAGAGCCCGCGTTGGCTACAACGGCCAATGTTTTTGCTTCCATGCTCATTCGACGTGGGATTTCTGCGAGATGCGATTGATTGATGACTGGTTCCTGACTCCGTGGCATGAGTGGTAGTTCCAATTCAGAGTAGGTAGAACTCTCGGGGTTACTTGTGGACGACCCCGGTCCTCGGCGCCGCACGCGGCGCCGAGACCCACCTGAATCAGGTACCCACGTCGGTGCCGCTGAGCTAGCCGGGGTACCCCACTCGGCCTTTTCCCTCAGATTGCGATGTCGGAAAAACATTCCGACAGCTGCGACTTGCAACTCGACAGTTCTCAGTCAATTTGACGATCCGAGGTGGATGGCTAAAAATATTCAGGCAAGATGATGAAGGGCATATGTATACAACCACTTTTCCGTTGAGACCTCACCATCGTCACACTCAGCATACAACATCCAAGTATTACTTCACAGTCTTTCAAAACTCATTACAAACATGATTTCAGGCCAGAAGCCTCACGTGCTCATTATTGGAGCTGGAATTGGCGGGTTGACGTTGGCGCAGCTATTGCGAAAGCGGAAAATTAGCTTTCAAGTTTTTGAAAAGGATCCGGAGGCGAGGACGTCTGGCTGGTGTATCTCGCTTCATTCGTGAGTAATACGTCAAACACACACACTATCTGAGGATTTGGAAGCGTTCGATGTAACTCTAACCATGTTTCGATAGGATGTTGGAAGAGTTGCGGGCCTCGGTCCCAGACGACATGGCGCCACTGGAAACGACTAGTCACCTTATCCCGTTCGACTTGCCAGCCCAGTCGGTGATATATCCGAGCAACGATCCCGATGTTCGCTTTGGGGCAACGTCCAAGGGCCCCAACGACTTTCTGAGATGCAACCGCGAACGACTCCGGCAGTGGCTCAGCACCAATGTCACAGTGAACTTCAATAAGAGGCTTTCGTCGATTGAAGAAACCTCCGCTGGCGTCGCTGTACAGTTCCAGGACGGTAGCTCTGCCACCGGTGACATCGTGGTCGGTGCGGATGGCGTGCACAGCGCTGGTATGAATTCCCAAACCCACCATCAGAGCATCCGACATGTCTCTGATGCACCAATAGTGAGGAAGTACCTGTACAGCGGGGAACTTCCGAAGAATCTTCCACTTGGAGTGATCGGGGGTGAGCTCACGCTGAGTGGTCGGGACATGGAGATACAACTAGAGCAGGGCCACTCAACCCATACTGTCTTTCTCCCGGAAGAGTCGGAAGACGCTGCGCCCAAGTTCATCACACTCTTCACTGCCATGGAGAAGGTCCACCCGTCTGGCGACGCCGGAGACTTCTACTGGGCTTTGACTTGGAGAGACAAAAACGCCGAGTCTGACTCTTTTTGGACCAAGTCCGCATCCCAGGAGGACTTGCAAGAATTCGCCAAAAAGCTCACCCGCAACATGCGGCCGGAGTTCCGCGACGTTATCGAGCGCACAGCTGTAGACAGGATGCTGGGCAACCCCTTTCCGCTCCGAACATTCACGTGCCCCGATATGCGCGAAAGCCGAGTGACCTTGCTTGGCGATGCGGCGCACTGTATGCCTCCATGTAAGTGCCCAGCTGACCAAGTATTTCGCCTGGACTAATCTGTTGTTTGAAGTCGGGGGTCAAGGGGGAGTTCAGGCCATCATGGATGCGCTCCTCCTCGCGAAACGCGTCGGAGAGACTGGCGATGAAGCCGGGATCGAGGACCCCATCAAGAAGGTCTTGTCTCAGTATCAGGACGAGATGATTGCCCGAGGAAACGATGCCGTGCTGAAGAGCTTGGCTGTGTACGACCCTAACGCCAAAAGGTTTGCGTTCGACCGAAAACCTGAGTCAGTGCCTAAAGAGCAAATTTCGTTGCAGGATCTCGCGCGAGTCTGAAGGCCGTCTATTTTGCCTGTCCTGGAAGGCTGGGAGTGGTAACGAAGCGTCCCAGATGTGGGGAACTGATTTTGAATTGCTTACATTCATAATTGATTTGCATGGAGGAGGAATATGGGTTGGAATTGGGCGTGTTTTGTCGAGTAGGCGAGAGACAAGGAATGCAGCGGGAGGGGCAGATTTCTGAGTAGTCCTTTGAACTGTATGTTTTTGTCCAACAGCATCAAATAGTAGCCATTACTGAGGCTTGTTGGAAGCTTTAACGGCTTCAGTAATCGACGATTAACTGCGAGCAGGAAAATGCCGGGTGATTGAAGAGATCATCAGGTGCTCGATTCTTCAAGCGACTTAAACCGAGGGAGCGTTGTTCATCAGGGTGCCTCTGCGTAACGCCAGAGCCGACTGGTTTGGAACCCATGAAGTGCTGATAGTATCTCTGCTTCACTGTGGCGTCTTCTGGCTTTCAATACAAGCCAATCCTGCCAGGGAACTGCGGCTGAGAGCCTGTCCTGGGCCGCCGAGGTCAACACAAGCCTCAATCGGATCGATCTCGGTCGAGTGTTGGGTCGCATTGTGGGGATGGCGGTTAGTGGGGCGCCAGCTGTCACAGCCCGTGCACCAGTGGGGCCGTAAGCACGTGATGGCGCGTATCAAACGTGACGTAATGACGTGCATCAGCCATCATCCATCATCCCTCCTACGCGTAATTACCTTGCAAAGCTGCAACTCCACCTCCATTCATCCTCTCTTTTTCCCATTGCATCAATGTAGGTAGAATCAGCACCAGGCCCACGAGATAGCACGGACCACAACATTGTGACACAAAAACGTTTCTTAGTCATCCACTGAAACTGTTAGGAATGAGATTCCCCATCTCGTTCGCCCGCGTCGCACCACGTCGCGTCCCAAACTCCCTCCCGTGCAACATCACACCATGATGCATTGCTCGGAGGGTACCCAGACCCGAGCTCGCTGTGCACTGCAGTCATGCCGTACTGATTCCATCATCCCAACCTCAATAAGTAACTGTTGAATTTGCACGGCAGAAGGAACATTGTGCGGTCTCCTCATCATGCAGTCGTGACGCAGCATGGGGTCAAAACCGCAAGCATGTGAGAGGTAGATGTTGTTTTAGCTGGTGGTGGTTGCGGTCTTAGGCGCGTGCCATTGAACATCATGACCAACTTGTGAGTACCTCATCTACTCCAACGTCCGCCAGAAATTCAGCAGCGGTGCAGTCCACGATACCCTGACGTTCATCTCGGATTAAACTTCGTTTCTCTTCGAGCTTGGCATCATCTCCTTCACATCAATAAGTCCCCTCTTCAAATAATAATGGACCGCTTTGACCATAGCGCGGTGGGAGTAATGCTCGTCGGTCGCCCCAACCAACCCACCCGATCAAGAAGATCGAGCCATTCCCCTCGCCGTACAGGCACCTAAGTATGAACACAAACGCCAGGATGGGAAAAACAAGCCATTGAATTTACTATGGCGCTTGCTTCATCGAGCTCGGAAAGTGAAGCAGAGCTACACTGTCTACTGTGGACAAGACTGCACACCTGCGTCCATCTCGTCGCCACAGATTTACAACCTGACTCATGGCATACAGCTCGCGCATCATGTACGAGCCCATGCCGCAGGAGACGAAGTAGACCAGGTACGCGAAGATCTGCAGCCCGCTGTACACCCACAGCAAGTCGTAGAAGCTCGCAGCAAGGATTAGGATACTGCCTTCGAGGGCCCGGGGGACGCAGACCAGGCCGACGAGGTCGCTAAGCTGTCGAACGTTTCACCGCGATGGTGTCTTCAAGGCCTTGAACTGTTCCTTGAAGAGTTTAGAGGAGGGACCAGCAATTGGCAGAGCTATTGCTCGGTGGTTTGAGGATTTTCTGATTGCCCACAGCCTGGAAGTACCAGGAGTTGATTCCCTGAAGGCGGACTTGCCGGTATCCACAACACTCTTGGCCATACGCGACGGAGAATGTGGCGACCGAGGATCTGGGGCAAAGTTTTGCGTAGTCTTGGGGAGAAGACGGGGGCCGATTTCCTCGTTTAACTTCTTCATCCTCCTCATCCTGACGCGCGCACTGCAGAAGGAGTAGATCTAGCGCGTCGTCATCTCCATCCAGACCAGCGGCGTCATTGACGCCAGCAGTTCCGGTCATTGCTTTATTCAGAAACCTGCATGACGACTTCGCCCCAAGGCCCAAACGCCCTGCTCGTCGAGTCCCACAAGTGTGGGTTGAGATTGCGATTTAATACTGGTACGGCGGGAGTAGTCTCCCAGCCAGCCGCAGCAAACGCTTCTGTGGAAATTGTGGGATGCTGAATAGGCGAGCAATTGTTGTTCTTGTGGTCAACCCAGCCGAGAAAGCGGATTCAGCAAGGCTTCCTGGGCCGATGTAGGAACTGATTTCGAATGTTTAAGAGAATAGAGGGATAGTCGAGACATGCAGTCAGAAAGATGGAGGTACTCATGTCACTCAAGAGCGACGTCTACATTCTAAGACTTCAGGCACAGACCGTGGCGATGTCTTGAACAACCGAAACCAGCAGTGGAGGAGATAGAATCCCATCCCCGAATGTCGCATATGGAGCGAACCCGCAATGCGATGTGGTGCAAGAGAACTCTCCCCTAAAGATGCATGTAATTCATCAGCAACGGGTTATCCACGCCTGTGGCTATATATTCGTCTGAAATCCTCACAAGATCGGCACATCATTTCTCAGAAGGTCTCAGGCCCCCGCTCCATTTTTAGTCCGTGAGGATCCCCAATAACACCGAGTGTCAGGTCGATGCTCTTGCGGTGACGCCAGGCTCTGAGATGCATTTCATCTTCCCCCCGATCGCTCCCAAGACATCCTTCGAAGCACTGCACGATCAAGCCCTCTCGCTCGTTTCCTACCCCGCAAAGAATTTTCACTACACCAAATCCAACAGCGTTTTTCATCATTGATGACTTATCGGACGTCCTACGAGAAAACCGGTTAAACGTACTAACAGTGTGGAACCCCTCTCTACAGCGCGGCCATCGACCTCATGATGGACTCAATTTGCAGATGTTTTACTTAGAAAGGTTCCGTCCGTCGCATTAAAGAACGACAGTGGTGTCCCAGCACCGAAGAGCTGTATCAACTGCTTCGTGGAGGCCCCCCATAAACAAGCCCAACCTGAGCAGTTGCTTGAGAAAGTGGTGCAGATTCTGCAGAGACTTGATAGATGGCACATTGAACGCGAAGCGAACAACAGCATGTCAGTCCTTGAATACACCAAGCAGCATTTCTTCTTGTACTGGGCCCTAGAGCTCTGGCCTGTGTAACTCTAAACTCCATCAAACCTAGAAAACTGAGCGGTAGGTAGAAGCAAACGACTCCAAAATCGTCAAAGTTCGTCGACCCAGGCTAATAAAAGCATCATGCCTTCTGAATTCAACCAGAACCAACTTCATGCCGAGTGGGGTTGCTGTAATACGCTTGCCCTCATCAAAAATGGCCACCAAAGTGTAATCGGCGAACGTGTCTTTCAGATCCTTGTGTATCTCTTCCTAAACAGTTGCCCGTAATTCTGCAATGGTGGTGAGCTAGTAGGTGGTAAGGCAGTCTTTCGTATATTCTTATGCCATAACGTCCAATTCTGCTTTGCAAACTGATGGGAGGCGTTTTGAGAATGCTGCTTTATAATTATGAGCTTCTGGGACTTAGCCCACGTTCGCACCAAATTACTTTCATAAGGCTTCTTCCTGCTAATATGCGAGGATGATAGTTATTGTGGAATCGGTCTGGAGGACTCGCTTGCTTCAGACACAGTGGTTGCCTTTGAGATACCCATACTTTTGCAATACTCAAGAGGCGTTGTGTTACCAACGTTCTACTATATCAACTAAATACAGAAGTGAACGGAACTGCTCGCAAACTAAATCAAAATCTCTTGCTCTTTCAAGAAATTGACTTCTCGCTTCTTAGGATGAACTTTCACACCTTCGCTTGGCCATTTCATGATAGATGAATATGGGCGTGGAGCTCCGACGGTGAAGGTAGCCATGAGCGCTTCCGGCTTTAAGGCCGGTAAAAGCGAGTATGGGTTGGCTTTCCACAGCTTTGAAGGGTCCTGGCAAGAGACAGGCCCGAAACGAAGCGGAGAGTGTGTTGAAGAACCAACAGTCTGAGGATAATCTCAAACACGCTCAGGAAGAGCTTACAGAACTCGTTACTCTGGTAAGAACCATCGTGCTTATAAGTACGAAGACTGTTCGCTAACCATTATTTCCCAGACCGTGCAAACGTCATTGAAGCGCTGAACCGAAGCCAGCACAAGTTTCCTAGCCGTCCCATCGGGCAAATTAGCCGTCATCAGCAAGGCCGAAGTACCTATTATGAAGTGTGTTGAGGACAAGACTGGCATTTGGGCGAACATCTATCGAAAACGATTCTGGTTTCCGGGCAGTCGAAACTATCAAATCAAAGGAAGCGGAATTCTCAGAAATTCCCAGACTGGTCATAGTCGTCCAGTAGATGGTTTTGATACGCGACTTGGATGAGGTACATACGGGCGTCCAAGATGCCGTGATCCACAACGAGGACATCCAGAACAACGACGCTGTGGCGTGTCCGTGTTCAGACTGACACACAACCCTGGGATCGAAGATTGGTCTATTATGCCCGTCGAGATCCACTAAATCAATCTCCAACGGGCGGATTTCTTTGAGGCAGACGCACCAAGGGATGGGAGCTTGACCAGCTAGCTGGTCATCAACAGGCATGAGGCTAAGGGGTGTTGCAACGGCAAAAGGGGACGAATGGCACGAATGATAAAACTGTCAAGTCTGACCGCCTAACCATCTAATTCAATTCAACCAGGCTGACCGCGAGATATAGAGCGGCATCAAGACTAAGATAATTGAGTGAATTCCCTCAATATCAACATTTAACATGGTATTTGAACAGAAGATCACTAAAGTAGCAGTATCTGCAAACATGTCTTCCCCATTCGTCCAGAG